GTCTTCTTTGCGGCGTCTTCGGACCAAGATCCCGCGCAGACCTGGCATCAGGTGCTGCGGCCCGTCACTGCCGACGTGGAGGTCAACAGCTCCAAGGACAGGGCTGGCATTGCTGGCATTTGGGCGGTGTGTCTGACTTAAACATCCAGCTTCCAAGCTCAAGTTCTAGGCGTTCACTAATTTGTTGCCTTTGTCCAGGGCACAATCAAAATCTGGGCCATTGGAGATTCGTAGGAAGATATTCCAGTTTGGCAGGGTCACAATCATCCCTGAGTAGTTCAAAGTTAGCGGAGGCCAGTCCAAGCCACAAATAGATGCTTTGGGAAGGCCCTTTAGTACCAGCCTTTGACTCATTTGGCGAAACCCTTGAAGTCAGGCTGTCATAGGAAGAATATCTGCTTGTTGATCGAACCATTTTGCGCGTGGACTGCGTGGACCCTTCAAAGGGCAGTTTATGATAGCGTGCGCATGTTCCCACCGGTGTGTGTCCCTGCCCAGGATTCATTGGACATTCACGTCATCGCACCTCTTTCACTTTTGGAGAGAGCCACGTCGGACAGATCCTGCCACTCCATATCTGACGTGTCACCAATCGCTTGCGGAGACCCACTGACCGGTGAATATCGAACTCCTCCACACTTCAGATTGACACGGGGGCATGCCACCCAATTCTTCGACGTCTTGTATCTGAACTTCAGCTATGCCTCTGCAGACGAGGCAGCTTGGCTGACTCCTGCTTCTGTGACTGGACAGACGTTTGCCAAATCATCAGTTCATTCGTGCCGGCCATGATTCCTGAATAGGGTCAAGTGTTCTACTTGTCCTTGCTCTGATGTTTGTAACGTCCTGTGTGCCGCTTGTTCTTCGCCATATTGGAATCTGCACGACCCCTCCAAATCTCCAAATCTCCAAATGGCTGGTTTCCACAGAACAGCCAAAGAAGGGACCCCAGGGGCCAACCAGCCCAGACCTCCCTCAACCTGACCCGAGGTGGATGCTCTGCGGGAGGCCCTGAAAGTGCGGCTACAACAGCAGCTGGAGGCCGGGCGTTGCCACAAATCAGACGGGTTCATCGGAAACGGTTCCAGCCTAAATCTTTTGCCAGGCAGCTTCTACCATTCTGTAGGGAGTCTTTTCGTGATTGGCGGTTGTAGAAGGGTCAGTGGCCCCTTTTTGGCCGATCTCAATCTTCAAAGGCAAACCAAGGAAGTCGGCTATTGCAAACGTTCCAAAACGCTTCTTCCGGTATTTTGTGTGGGGGGGGGGAACCTAATTCCAATGCCACGAGACTGGGGCAACCGAACTGGAAGCCACCCCAAAAGACCCCGGGCCCCGAAAGGAGCTGCCGGTGTCGGGCCGGGGCTTCAGCTTCACTTTGGAGTGGACGGGGGCGCTGCTGGTGGAGGCAGGGTTCACCCACACTACGCCCTTGGCGCGCCTGGAGATCATGAACGGCCGCTTCCAGTACAGGACTGGGGGGTTTGGTGGGGGATATGGGGTGGGTCTCTTTGCTTCTTGTCACAGACGCTTTGAAAAGGCCAAACATTTGGGAGGGCCGGGTATCGGTTGCCCCCCTTCCCCTTCGCAGACAAAACGTCGGGGGGGCGGGGCAACCAACCAACAACAGAGGAAAGAGCGAGTTGTATAGGTGTTCTGTTTGAGGCAGGTGTTTGCCGCTCCAAGGGACGGTTGTAGAAACAAGTTTGTCCGTGTTCCATGCTTCTCGTAAACCCAGTCATGAAGCCACAATGGTTAGTGACACACCCGCAGGTGCATCAAAACTAGAGGAATCTCTCTAAAGGGATTGTTTCTTTGTGAAATCAGCCCCAAAAGCGCCTGACGTGTTGCCCAAGCGTGACATCATACAGGAGGCCCACTTCTCAGGGCGAGGCTGTGAGCCGGTACATTGACTTCAGCTGCCAGGGGGGCTGCGTCAAAGACACCCGTGACTTCCAGGGCAGCAAGCTGGGCATGCTGATCGACCTGCCCAACCAGGAGACTTGCGAAAGTTGCTGGAGGTGTTGGAATCTCCCCCACTTCTGTAAAGCGCAACAAACAATTTGCGGGTGGTCCCCGTGTGGAAGGCGAATGAAGAATTAGAATGAAGCCAACCATGTTAGAGCTGTTTTTTCTTCTTTGGGTTCCTGCAGCAGACATTTGTGGGAATTTGGAAGGCACATTTGGCCAAATTAGAATAAACTGACCTGCCTGGGTGTAAACGAGCTGTCCCATGGCGGTTTCTGACTTGCCTGCTTATTTGGGCCACTTGAGTTTTTTCTTGGTGTAGGAAACATAGTAAGGTCAGAATTATTTCGACAGGAGAAGCCCGGCCTGGAGGTGGCAACCATCATGCCGCCGGAGCAAACCGACCCCATGCAGCTTACAGTGGAGTTGCGCCAGCCTGGGGCTCGTTTTGTTTCCAGTGCTGCCCATGGGAATCTTGGGTGTTTCCCCCAAAACGGTGTGTAACAGAGTAACAACAAAGAATGTTCAAAGGATTTTGAGGTGTCAGTCAGTTTTTGTTTTGTGTTTCCGAACATGGACACCAAAACACCAAGACATGAGTATTATTCCGTTGTTTATTTGAACATGTCGTGGTCAGACAGTGCCCTGTTTGGAAAGGCAACCCAAAGAAACCAATCATGAGCTTTTGAGTTGTATCCTTTTTCCAGAACACAAGGGAAGATTCCGAGATTCTGTAGGGCCTTTTTTTGGGACATTGAATGAACCTGGGTTGTGTTTCCCAGGCCTAACGTTTGGCTGCTGCCCCAGCTTTGGATGGACTTGCTGACCTGGGCGCTGTCCATCTACCAGCAGACAGCGCAAGCCAACGCGGTCGAGGGCAGCGTCAGTGAAGAGGTCTCCAGGACTCAGCAGATGAAGGCGGCAACTGGTCCCAAAAACAGGTTTGGACGGTTTGGACCCTCCACCCAACGAAGGGGATTTGTGTGGCGAAAGTTGAGATCTGGGCCCTTGACCAGGATTCTAGGATTGTTTCGTTCATGAACTGGAACAAACAGCCCATTGATTTGGCATACAGACCGCTCTCGCGCTTGCAGTGACATTTGGAAAGCCAACCCTTTGCCAGGTCATTGTGTCAGATGGTGCGGTTCGTTTGCCAATCGCTTGGGCTGCCCCTGCTGAGCACTTTGCACTGATGGGGGACGTGATTTTGTCCATCAACACGGAGGGCAGCAAGATGTGCTTCGACCCCATTTCTCTTCCCAATGCGAGCCTGATCCGGGTGTCCGTGTCTGACAGCCTGAGCAACTGCCACAACCGACTCCTCTGTGAGAAGGTGGTCTTTTTTGCCAAGGTGATCTCGGAGAAGCAGGTGAGCAGCCAAAGCCTTCCGTTAGTTTTTGCCAGAGAGAGGGGCTTTACTTTCTGGTGGACTACAGGGAGGGGCCTACAAGCCTTCCGCGATCACTTGTCCAAATAACGCCAGGTTTCGTTTCGCAAACATTGGTCGACCCCCTTGTTGGTTGGTGTTTTCAGAGGAGGCAAAAAGGACACCAACCATTTGCCGGAGTCCCCCATGTTTGGAGACACCCCAATTGGAAACCCAGCAAAATTGGGTGAAATGGGGTGGCTGGAGAGGGGCTCAACCCAAAGAAGGCATTTCCGTTTCCACGATTTGGGGATCTGAGGTGGCTGCAGGCACCCGGATCAGCATGTACTGCGCAGAGCTGGTGAAGCTGCAGCGCTTCCAGGTCCGCATCACTTTGCAGGACGGAGCAGAAACGGGCTTCGCATTTGTCCCTTTGGTGCAGGTAATACCTCCCCCTTTCCATTGCATCTACTTTTTTTTGTCCATATATATATACATATATATATATACATATATATACACACATATGATATTTGTCTTTCAGGACTAGATCCTGAAACTTGAATCCAGTATTGGGCTCCCAAAACGCCTTAAAGCGTTTTCATTCTCGTGGATTCACTATTGGGGCCCTTAACCCAGGACTCTTGTTCTTGAATCTTGAATCCACTGGATGAAAGCGCTTTAAAGCGTTTCTAGAGTGATGGGAATCCTGAATCTTGAATCCTGGATCAACAAGTGCTTTAAAACGCTTTAAATCGTTGTGGGGGCCCAATACTGGATTCAAGATTCAAGATCTAGAGTCATGGGAATCTTGAATCTAGAATCTTAGATCCAAAGGTGCTTCAAGTGCGGTAAACACAGTTGATAGTTCAGCCTATTGACATTGGATAACTACTTCTCTTTTTATTATTATTTATTTTAGACAATTGGATATTGAAGAAAACTGTAAAAACAAGTGTGTTGCATGCGACTTGGTAGGTTTTGCGCAGCACGGATTTCGTTCAGGGAAGTTAGTTGTTTTAGCAGCGTGGCATTGGTCAAGGCACATAACAGATGTTTTTGTGGCATTGGCCAAGGTTTGTGAGCTGACAGACGAAGGGGATTTGATTGGCACAGGTTTGTAAGTTGATAGACGAAGAGGATTTGCACATCAACTGAGATGAGAAATCGAAGACGCGTAGCTGAAGCAGCAGAGGCATTGTTTGCTTTATTGTTGATACCCTTGCGCCGGCACTCTCACAGATGTTTTACAGTTAGTTGAACGAGGATAACATTAGTGAAGAAGCAAAATTGGTATGGACACATTTTAACAGTAAAGCAAGGGAGAACATCACGACTTCTGCGAAAGCAAATGTTGTATTCTTGACTGACATTTTCAAAAACTTCAGAGGTGTATGCATGAAATACTCTGGCTTAGACCCTGTGTATTATGACGCATGACCCATTTTTGAATTTACACTTTGCCCACCTTTGCTTCTGATGCTATGTTCAAATTGACTTGTGTTGAATTAAACTTAGTTATGATCAGACGATGTATGAAATGATTGAACAAGAATCTAAAGGAGGAAAGCCTATTCAAATGCGTGGCAAAGACTAAACGAATCATTTGCACAAGTCTGCCAACATTGCAAAATGAGCCCACATCCATCTGAAATGACCTGAATTCCCATGCATAGGCAGCAGGCGCGGCTTGCGTTAGAATAGGTTAGCCTAGCTACGGCTACATTAGATAGGCAGATTGGATAGATGGATGGATAGATAGATCGATCGGTCGAGAGCTAGCCAGCTAGATAGCTAGCTGGCTAGACACATAGATAGAGAGATGGATGGATGGAGGGGTAAATAGATAGATAGGCGGATCGATTGATTGATTGATTGATCGATCGATCGATCGATCGATCGATAGATAGATAGATAGATATATTGGTGGGTGGATGGATAGCTAGATGGATAGATAGTTAGATAGCCAGATAGACGCATTAGATACAGTAGATAAATTAGATAGAGGGAGTTGATTAGGCAGTCTAGACAGATTCGCCAGATTTGGTCGGTTAGACGGACGACACAGAGTAGGTGGATTAGGCAGATTTGGCAGATTTGGCAGATTAGATACATGAGTTACATTAGATACAATGGACAATAGATACATTACATAGCTTCAGATAGATTCAGATGGATAGATTCAGATAGACAGACAGACAGACACAAACAGACACATCGATAGATTTATTAAATAGTTAGATAAGGTCAGATCAGATTCGATTCGATTCGATTCGATTAATATAGATGGACTAGATAGATAGGTCAGATGAGATAAGATCAGATCAGAGCAGATGAAATAGACAGATAGATATTAAATATAGATAAACGTGGCGGCAGGACGTGCTGGAGCTGTCGGACATGCTGCAGGCCATGGCTCTCATGGAGGCAGAGAGCGTGGAGCCCCAGGAGGAGATCCGATCGCGAGATCCCTTGTCCCTGGTTCAGCCACAGAAGATGAGCCCTGGCCGCAACTTTCGGCGCTCGATTTGGGCCTTGCATTCTTCGGAGTTTGACTTGGCCCATTTTTCCACATATTTTTGCTGGGTTTTGGGCCCTTTGGCTTTTTGACCAGCGACAGACACTGGTAAGTGGTTTAGTCCTGTTCGAATTCATGTTGCTTGGCAATGGGAGACACGGTGAGAGTACCGGGACGATACTCGATACTGGTGACTCGTTAGTGCGGCCGTCTCCGTTCCCTTGCCAAGCTCGCTAGCAAGTGGCCGAGTTTCCGGAACCCATTTTTAAGATTGTGCAAGGCCTTCTCCGGGAGGTGGAGCTTGTGTTTTTCCCTTCTTAGTTTGTCCGTTTCGGCACCCTGGTTCTCGTGCAGGCCAAATGAAAGAAAAACCAATCCGAACTTTCAACTTGAGGGCCTATCAGAGTGGCGCCCTCAACATCACCCTCCGGGTGATTCTAGTCCGAAAGTGATTTTGAAAACCAAAGGCGGGTTAATGGACGGACCCAGAGGAAATGGCCCAAGGAGCGTGGCCACTTCCGTGGAGCTGGACGGTATGGATTTGCAGGTCATGGCACCACGCCCGGTACTGGAGTTTGCCCTGGGCTGCCCTCTGACGCAGGTCGCGGGGGGACTTGGGAAGATGTCACCTGAGCAGCGGGGTCCCAAACCCAAGCTGACCATGCAGTAGATTACTACAGTTTTTGTTGGGCCATGCTAAAAGGCTGCATGAACCTCTAGAGCCAGAACCAAAAGTCGAAGGGTGTTGGTCGAGTCTGCCGACCTTTTTCAGTGACACAAGGCTCATTTGCATGATAGATGGTTTATCTTCTTCCCGTGGCTTTTTGTGGGCGTGTTTTCCCGCTGGCCAGGTGCACCTGTCCTGGGTGCGGGGGGAGACGCCGATGGGCTCTGTGCGCCTGGAGCGCTTCTGGCTGCGGCTGAAGGCCCTCAACGAGCGCCTGGCCGCCTGGGAGCCGATTTTGGGCGACGCGGTCTGGAACTTGGACTTCCTGCGCCTCGGAACCCGCGAGTGGCATCTTTCATGTCCTCTCAAAACAGTTGGACATTGAGGCTTCAACCTGTCAATAACCAATGTAGGCGCAGACCCGCACGAAAAGCATGTTGGCTTTTCTGGAGGGCCCTTTTCTGGGACGAAGCAGCCGTTCACGGTTTTCCCCTTCCAGGCCAAGTCACTAACTCGTTCACGATCTGCGTTTCAAAGCCGATGTCCGGCCTCCTCTTCGGGATGTATGTTTTGACAGGTCCGTCTACATTACCCTGGAGATAATTGGTGCATTGGTCTGCGGAGCATGATCAAGTTCAGAGTATTGTCCTTTGCTTCGAAGAACATATCTACATTGCCACCCCTCCCTACACATTTTTCAGGTCATGTCTTTCCGGCATATTTTTGTGAATGATAATGTCCATATTGAAGATCCATTTGTGATTTATTTACTCCCCCTTTCCACATTCCTTTGGAAGACATGTTCAAGTCATCTACATCCCCGCATTTTCAGGTCTTGGAACAGCTTTTCAATTATTGCCAATAGCCATTCTGTCCTCATGGAAGAACGCCCATACCATCCGTCGTGCACTTTTTGGTACCTAGACCTTCCCACATGTGCATATATGGATATATGTATGATATGAGTATTTTTGTTCCATTCACATTGTCACATATATGCAGCTCTTGGATTTTCAACAGACGGCTGGTTTTCCTTGGAAGCTCCGTTTGCATTTCCTGGGCCTCAGGTGCCGCCGCACCCGCGACCGGCCGGAGGCGGTGGCGGAGGTGTACGCGGCGCCGGTGTCAGCCATCCAGGCGGTCCGAAAGTTCAGGTTTAGGGGGAATGCCAGGAAGCCAAACCGCCAACTCCACGCCTTAAAACGTCGGCCCAGGAAACTTGCTAAGGCACAGGCCGCATGGCTGAGTAGAAAGGTTAAAAGGCTGCGCCCGGCAGTAATTAATTAACGGGTCGGTACAAAAGGAACGTCCTTTGGATTTGACCATCCGTGTGGAAGCCATCAAGAAAGTGGCTGACCATACGCGGGTTAAACGAACGAGCTCTGCCCTCAGAATTAAGGGTTCCTTACTCAAGTCAAGGTTTCCTTTCTACAGGTTGGTGAAGAATAGTAATTGGTAGTTAACTGATGCAGCAATGCAGATCATTGTAAACAGTGCTTTCCATTTTGACCCAGAGTTTGTGAGGTTCCGTCAACATGTGCAGTGCCCTGTGGTCAATGATTGGTTGCCGGGGGGGGGGGGGGGGAGGCATGTTTTTGAACCACGAAGGGTAAGGGTACATTTCGATTAAGGCTCAAGGCGCATGTCCTACAGACACCGACACATGTCATGTTTTCCCATGCCCGTGGAGGGTAAATTGCAGCTAAGGCTCCAGAAGAAACAACAAGATGTCCAAAAAGCATGTTCAAAAATTGCGCAGAGCGTTTTGCTAAGTGGAGACTTCTCAGGTGGCCGTGACGGTGCCGGTGATCCGCGCCTGCGCGCGGCTGCTCCAGTCCTACGGGGACGCCGTGGATGCAGCCCAGGAGGCCAAGGAGCGGCGCAAGCCGCAGCCCTCCGCGCGGGCGGAGATCTTCGGCTGAACATTCGTCAAGCGTCTTTCGATTCATGTGTCATTCGTGTTTGTGTGTCATCTCCAAAGGCGTTGCGAAGGGTTCTGCAGGAAAAGTCTGGTGGAGGGCGCGTCAGAGAGGTTGCTGGAGCAAGATGCACCAGAGGTTTTCTGCGGTGTTTGGCTAGAGAAGCAGTCTAGTGAATTCGCGCGTGAAAGAAAGAAAGTACAGCTAGACAGGTACAAGTTGCTCTTTAAAGGCGGTAGGCCTGGTCGATGTGCAAACACGGAGGGCATTTATCATCCTCCTGCACGGATTGGCGTGCAACAACTGAGGGCTTTTGCTACTTTTTTTCTTTCTTTTTTTAAATAACTCCCACGACTCTGCAAGGATTGGCGCGTCGACGTGCAACAAAAATGACTTTTACTACTTTTTGACATCCTGCGCGAACCTCTGCGTGGTCGAAGTGCAAACACTGAGGGCTCATGCTACTTTGTGCGGCGCCACGCTCTGCACGGATCGGCGTGACCGATGTTCAAAAGCTGAGGGGAGTTTGTACCTTTTTTGAGTTGTGCGGCGTGTCTGGGCTCAAAGCACCTTTGGTCTGAGCGATTGGAGCTCGCTTTAAACGCCGGCTTGAAACCCGAAACGTCCAGTAACAGATCCCCTTCAGAAACAGCGGCCGATGTTGGGCGCAGCTCTGGCTCGAACGAAGTTCAGGTACGAATGCGGCGTGCAAAGTACACTCTCGAAGCTCCGGCTTGAACATCACAAATGTTCAGCGCTAAAGTAAAACGCGTGCAGTTTCGCATCTGTGGCTCAACTTTTGCAAAAGGGTTTTTCCGACTCTCCCTGCTTGTGCTGGGTGACTCGGACGCTGTCATGGTTGTCTCACTTGTTCCCCCCCTCGTCTCCTCACTTGTCTCCTCACTTGTCTGTCTCCGCACTTGTCTCCTCACTTGTCTCCCGACTTGTCTCCCGACTTGTCTCCCGACTTGTCTCCCGACTTGTCTCCCGACTTGTCTCCCGACTTGTCTCCCGACTTGCCTCCCGACTTGTCTCCCGACTTGTCTCCCGACTTGTCCCTCGGCTTGTCTCCCGACTTGTCTCCCGACTTGTCTCCCGACTTGTCTCCCGACTTGTCTCCCGACTTGTCTCCCGACTTGTCTCCCGACTTGTCTCCCGACTTGTCTCCCGACTTGTCTCCCGACTTGTCTCCCGACTTGTCTCCCAACTTGTCTCCTGACTTGTCTCTCGACTTGTCTCTCGACTTGTCTCCCGACTTGTCTCCCGACTTGTCTCCCGACTTGTCTCCCGACTTGTCTCCCGACTTGTCTCCCGACTTGTCTCCACTTATTTCCCGACTTGGCTCCGATTCTCTCCCGGCATGTGCTTGGCGACTCACTTGTCACGTCTTGTCTCCTCACTTGTCTCCCCACTTGTCTCCCCACTTGTCTCCCCACTTCTCTCCCCACTTCGCTCCCCACTTCTCTCCCAACTTTTCTCCCCACTTCTCTCCCCACTTGTTTGTCTCCCTAGTTGTGTTTTCACATGGTTGTACGTTCAACGTGGATGCATATGTTTTGAACGTGCCAAGGACCACCGTGAAGAAATTTGAGGATGAAGTGGTTGGCATTAACTTGACGGGCCTGCGCTGCATTGCTTCAAAGGCGAGCCAAAAGTCAAGGAAGAACATTGGATGTTAGCTTGGTGTGACTTTGAACCACTTACGCTTTTCACTTTTGGGACTGACCATTTCCCCACAACACAAAAGTCAACCATTTTGTAGGGGATCAATGACCCACAGTTGCTAGGATATTGTCCAATCATCAAATGGATGAGCCTCGGTAATTCCTGAATTGGGCACCTCTTTTGCAGCCCTCCTGATACGGTTTTGGGTCTTTTTGGGTTGAGTGGCAGGAAACTCTGGCTTAGGTCCAAGTGACCCCTTGCTTTCCTTTTTGGGTTCTCATTTTTCCTGAACAGGCAAGCGCCAATGGAAGTCGACCCAAGCCCTCAAAGCTTGGCTGCACTCCCCTTCAGGGCCTTTGACCACACGATAGAGCCTTGCGGGTGTCCACTTTGTGACACGCCAACCTTGGTTTGAACAGGGCCTCCAAGACTACCACCCTAGGGAACAACGTATTAGCGTGTAGAAATAGTTTGTATGTACACCCACCCCAAATGTTCTTGTCGGTGTAGTGGCTTGGGGGCAGTGGAAGCGGGCTAGACTTGTGCGCGTCTCCAAGCGCGTCCCTGAAAGATTCTGAAGATCTCAGGTGGCGGACCTGGACTCCTTCCTCTCCGCGGACCGGGGCTCGGCGTTCACCACCTGCCTGGGCTCCAAGCCGGTGGGCCTGGATCGCCTGGTGGACGCCAACCGGAAGCTGAAGATCCAACTGCTGGGCCTGGCACCTGGGACTGAAACGGTCTCTCAGACTCAGCTGCGCTTGCATTCCCCCCAAATTTGCTGACCAAGAAAATGCACTACACATGAGCGCACTGGAGGTTGCCAAGCACCAGCCAGCAAAACAAGCGGGAGCGTCTGCAAGTGGGTGGAAATCCAGAATACTTCTTCAAGGTCCACTTGAGACAATGGTTTTGCGTTCTGCTCAACTGCGTCACTGATTGAATCTATGTGTTTGGTCTGGTTTCTAGACGGTTTCCTTTGGCTTTCCTTTTTATTCTGATTTATTTGCTTTGGTTTGAGCTTGAGTAATTGCCAACTCTGTAAACAAGTTCGCCAGACAGGGGTGTGTTCTAAGATGGTGCCTGCTAGTCTGCCTGGCTGTCTGCCTGGCTGGCTGGGTGTCCGTGTGCCGGCCTGGCTGTCTGGCTGTCTTTGCACTAAGATAGAGCTGGAGAATCCCTCCCGTTTTGGTCGAACCGCCATCAGACCTTCTCAAGTTTGAAGCTGTGCTTCCGTCTTTGGGGTCCTTTTTGAGCTCTTTTCCTGGACTCTTCCAAATCAGCAGCGGTTACTCGTCGGTCTTCGTTCAATATCCTGTTCAACACCGATCCAGAACCCCCCCACCAAATATACATATATATATATATATATAATATATATATATAATATAATATATATATAATATATATATATATATATAATATATATCTATCTAATATACATATATATATATATATAGTCAATTATCACGATGACATTTATGGCCCAGAGGTACAACAAGTTGCATGATGTACAAACATGACAAGGACCCAGAAGACATGTCCGCATGTCATTTGGCTCAAGCGCTGAAAAGAGCGCGTTGCTCGCGCTACCCACAAGGTTAAGGGAGAGGTCGCAGTCACGGAGGGGTTCGTTCCTTTTAAGGTCCCGGGTTCCCCCGTTGTTGACGAAACTGTGTTTCCCTCTCCTTTGAGTGGTTATCAGCCGTAACGCTTTTCGGGTGAACAAACCCCTCCGTGACTGCGACCGTTTGGTCGCACATGGAAGCCGGCCCTCACCGCGGCGCTCGCGGTGGGAAAGGGTTGACGAGTACAAGCGGCAGAACAGACGATTCCGGTGGGTCAGGTTTGCAGACGCCTCGAAGCAACAGATCGAGGCGCTCTTTTCCTGGCGTGAGTCATTGGATAGTTGGCACCTGTGGGGTTTTGACCAAGAGGCCTTCGAAGTGATCCAGGCCGCGGACAACGCTTATCAGCAGCGTCTCGCATCGGTTGAAGCCGCAGGTGTGGTCTTGCCGCAAGGTGTGCAATCTCAGGATAAAGCCGCAGCCTCTGGCGCAGCGGAAGCAGCGAGCAGTGCAGCGGACTGGCTACGCCCTCCGACGCCTCCTTCAGCTTCATCCTGGCTACAAGATTCGCGCACTCCATTGCCTCGCATCCGACCATCAGCAGAGGAAAGACAAGTGTTGCGGGGCGCCGCCAAGTCAGCGCTTCGCGGGGTGTACGCTAGAGCTGCGGAAACGCGGCGGGAGAGCAGCAGGGAACGGTCAACACAAAGATCGAGGTCCCCATCGCCCCGAAGGTCGAGGTCTCCATCGCCTCCGAGACGAGGTCCGACTGCTGCTACCCCTGTGGAACATCGGGCACACAGTGTTGAACCCGCGCTTGCGAGGGAGGGCAGGCCATCCAGGACTTCCCTTGCCACACGGCCCATTGTATTGGCTCCACAGAACAGTATATACCCTGTGACACGATTTGACGAGCACGGCACTTGGGTACTCGTTCGGGAGGCTTCACAGCCACGTGAGGCGACATCTCACCGCCGAGCACAGCGGACATCCGGACATCTCCGTCAGGCTGACCCGTATTCGCTTGCGGACGAGACGTGGAGAGATCCCCCAAGAAGATCATCCACAAGCTCGCGATCACGATCTCCAGATCGACGCCCAGGGCCAGCGGAGCACTATCGCCTCGACGCCTACAGCTCGGAAGAGGAACCTCCGCAGGACGCGGAATCCATCAGAACTGGCAGGTCAGCTTACGTGCCTCGGCGCGTATACGAGGCACCGACTCACACTGAGCCTATCGCTTTGCATAGCCGGAGGATTGGAGCATTTCAACCGCCGCCACCAAAGGCCGCACCAAAGGTCATTTTTGGCAGCAAGCCTCCATTGCCCAAGGAACTTCCTCGTGCAGCTTCTTCGGCACCGGCAAAAGCAGATATTCCGAGGAAATCCCCGCCGCGAGCAAGATCTCCTATTCGGACTCAGAGTGCATTCGGGCACAAGGCGCCTCCACGAGGTTTGAACAAAGCCGAACCCAGAAGCAAATCGGGCTCAAACCCGCCACAAGGGTACATCGTCAAGCCGCCACCGCCGCAGGTCGTTAAAGCAGCTGCTGCTAGCGCTGCAACTTCCGAGGCTGGCACACGCTTCCGATCGCCACCAAGAAGGCCACCGCCTGCGCCGCCCCCGCCGCCTGGAAGGCCTGTGCCGCCCAAGGAGCTCACCATCGCTCTTGACTGGCACGGAGTTCTTGACGTTGGGCAGCAGGGACCCTACCTCAACCGGAGGTGATCCGACATCTCGTTCAATTTGCAGCCGACTACGCACCTATAAATTTTATAGTGCTATATCCTTCGTGGGCAGGGCTGCAAGCGAGTATCGCCGCCGTGAGTTCCAGGTCGCCCTGGAGCACGCGCGGGCGACAGCTGGACTCACTTTTTCTGCGATAAAAATCGTACACGAAAGGTTAGGCAGGGGCGGCAAAGCAGACGCCCTCTTGGGGCTGGGCGTTCACGCCCTCATCGACGATACAGCTGCGATTGTCCGTGAAGCTCAAAAGACAGGCGTCGCGGCGTTCCGCAACTTCCCGCATTTCGGGCCGAGCGGATTTGCCAACGCGCTTGAGAACCTCGGGGAGTATATCGAGTCCCGGAATCGACTTTTCATTCCGGCGGCAAGGGGCCTGCATCCAACGCAGTACCTCGAGGAGCTCCACCGATCTGCATCCCAGTTGCCCGCCAACCGGGTACTTCGATAGCCTTTCTTTGCAAGCCGTTAAAACCGTCGCTTTGCGCGGCACAGCATCTTTGCAGCTACAGGCATTCGATTTGCAGACAAATTCTCAATACAGCTTGGCAACATCCCTCGATAAAGCACCATAGTTCGGCAGTGCGGATCAATCAATCTACAAGTACAATTACAAATACAGAATTCATCAGGTGCAAAGCAGCAGGGCGTATTTTCTTGAGTGGCTCACTTGAGCGTTTCGCAACCAGCTGCCAATCCAGGGATATCTCCTCGTAGCACCTTTTGACACGCTGCTCAAAGCGCGTGGAGCTAGCTTCGTGTGAGTGCAAAATTGCATCGCTGTGTCATGGCTTCAACGGGCTTATCACCGCCATCAGAACCCCGTTCAAGGTCAACCCCAAATAGGGATTCTGAACCGGATGACCCTGACCTAGCCATGGTTCCTGCAGCTATGTCCACAGTTCGCACATCCACACCTCAACGAGCAGCCCAAACACGACCATCATCACCCCCGAGTGGTCCGATCGTGTCAGAACCTACATCATCCGAAGCTTCCCCAGCCATTCAGTTTCCTTCACAGGGATCGCAATTACCTGACCCGATGACTAACGTACCCGCTGCGGCATTTATAGCTGGAGCTGCGGTGCAGCAAGCTCATCGAGCATCCGACCTCGCTGCTCAGGCAGCCAATCACGCCTTGCACCAACAGCAGGCCGCCGACCAGGCGAGACAAGAGGCCGGATGGATCAGGGAAAGGGCTGTAAGAGAAGTTTCAGACGTTAGGGTTCAGGCCGCTCAGCTAGCTTCGCAAGCACAGCAGGCTGTACAAACAGCACAACAAAGTGAGGCTCAGGCTAGGCAACTAATCGAGCAGACACGACAGGAAGCCATTGGCCATGTCGAGAACGCACGACAGGTTGTTAATGCCACTCAACAGGACGCTCAGCAAGAGGTTCAACGCATTGTTCAAGAGGCTCAACAGGCAATCTCGCAAAGAGAACAAACCATTGCCAGTCAAGAGCATACCATTCGTGGATTGTCCCAGGAAAATTCTGTGATGCATCAACGACTTGGTGATTTCGAACGTGTTGTTGCGCACCTCACCAACAAGCTCGTGCGACCCCTGTTCCGATTCAAGAGTCCCCGCCAAAAGCCGCATCAATAGCCGAAACAGCTACGGAAACAAGCGCGGCTAAAGCCTCAAGTCAGGGCACAGTTCCCCCAGGAACCCATCAGCCGGTTGGAGCACCTCAGGTTTCAGAGTCACAAGATGCCTCCGGTGTTGCCGCATCGTCGCAAGGGAATGCTTTTATAAGTACTATCCCTGACCCTCCGTGTGGTTCTGTTCAAAGTTCAGGACTTGGTCACGATGCCCCAGCTGATTCAAGGGACCCTGGTGGGGGTGCAACAAGTCAACATCTCGCAGGCCATTCGGCAGTGCTAGGAGCAGCGTCCTCTGTTGGAGACGCAGCCCCCGGCGCGTCGAGGACTAGCGGGTTGGGTAGAGACGGTACAAGGGATCAAGCCGATGTGAGAGTGCAAGTGACGGCTTTAGCGGAAATGGAATTTGCAGGGGCGCCGCCTCCGCCAAAAGCTGGCGACGGCACTCGTGTTCCGCCAGTACCAATTACAATGTTGGGAGGGTTGTACTCGTCATCCCCACAAGCGCCATCGGCCGCTAGCTCCGACTCATCATCAGACTCCGATGGAAATGATGATACTCCACACACACACGAGTTTGCGGCGGCAGCCAGGAAGACACGGATTGCCCATACCTCACCATGAACGGTGGTGGGGGAGGTGGGGGAGGCTCTGGCCAGTTCCCCAATGCAGACCCGTCTCAAGCTGTCGATCCCAGTGTAGGCATGACCGCCGTAGATCACGCCGCATATGAGGAGTCCGTTGTTCGCGTCAAGGATCTCAAGGATCTCGTGTTACCATCCCCTCCGGAGAACGCTGGACAGGCTAGA